AAGAAACCAGAGGAAGTTACCTGGGAAACCGAATCGAGACGTGGAGAAGGTGAGGAGAGTTGCAGTTAATGTATGCAGCTTTATATCCCGTCAAGTCTCGAAAATCGGGGGTTAACTATTTCAAATTCATTTTATCTAAGCCGTTGATCTCGTGAAATATAACCATAGCCGTCAGATTAGATAAGAGATATCCTCGAAAAAGATAACGGGTAATCATTATCTCAGCGAAAAAGTTAAGATTCGGCGGCTAGGTTTAGCTTCTGAGACAAAGTATCTTCTCTTGAAAGCTGGGGGCAACTGTTGGGCCCGAATATGGCCTGTTAGCTGAGACTAATGGGTTATAGCGATAAGAGTTGACAATGGGCCACTGCAAGCCCATTCGCAATTAATCTTTTAAGGAAAACAGTTAAAAAGAAGCCGGAGGCTGATTGCTAAGGAAGAAACGTTAACAAAAGAGGTCACAAGAAAGAGCTCCGGACCTCATTTACAAAGAGCTAACAAGAGTAGCTCAGGATGGATGCGCAGGACCCGGTCAAAAGGAGACTGTTGAGAATCCCCCAACTCACGGAGCAAATCTCGGAGGTTGGATAGGATCGTTCAAACATGGCAAAGAGCTATTTAAGAAAGAGGAGAAGATCAGATAAGAGGATCCTCTCTCGACTCATTCATTCAACCATTTTTAGCATACAAAACATTCTCGTAATTCTTTGTAATCGTCAGAATCATCTTTGTAATCACTATTCACCAAAAACATTCAATACAATTATATTCATTCTACAAAGTTCTGAACGGGATTCAGCCCACGTTATCTTTTCTCTAATCTTAACCTGATCTGAAATTAGGAGGTGAGTTTTATCCCTCACAATGGATTGATGCAAAACAAGACCTCTGTTACTTCTGCTGCAGAGAATGCCTGAAGTATCTGATTTGGGAGTTTGCTTTTTTTGGTCAGGTAAATTGAGTAGAAACTGATACCACGTGTTTACTCTTGTCCATATCTAACAAATTTTTTTATAATTTGGGTCAAAATACATAGGTAAAGCAACAAAGGCGAAGATAGCAAGAGAAGAGATGTGCACTATAGATACAGAGGGATGGAAATCAAGAACAAGATTCTCTTGTTTTTTTTTTGTTTTCTTTACAAACTTGGAAGACTTTTTGTATGTCTGATGTTTCATCAAGTCGAGAGTAGTAATATGCTTAGGAACAGAACAAAAGGTGAAACATGTATCAAGGTACAACTTGGGAAGGTATAACTTGTGTATTTCTCTGAACTGAGTCGGCATGTAGTCTCATTGTACATTTCGTCAGTGTCAATGAAATGGTATTCATGTGATGCTTTTTTTTTCTTGGCATTCACTTAGAATGATGGCATGAGAAAACGAACCATCTTGGTGGTACTACTACATAAAATGTATAAGAAGATCGTTAGAAATTTATCATTGGAATCAAATCTTCAAAACAAATGGTTTGGTCAGAGAGAAAAAAACTTGTCCCAGTCTAGGCTGGCCTGCGATAGGGAGCTAAAGCTTGTAATCAAAATTTTAATATGAATTAAGGTTTAGAGAAATGTTGAAAAAATGATTTGTGAATAAATGTCTAAATAGTTTGTTCGAATCATATTAATATAACTGACTGGATCTTTTTTTATTTTATTTTAATTGACTGAATCGTGGTTGTTATCCGTTAGATTTGGAGTTTTAGGGCAGTAATAACTGGACCTAACTTCACCTATGGATTATGAGATCTTTGCAAATTTAGTCCATTTCGATTAGATTTTTATTGGACGAGATTTTTATGCTTCATCCTGCTTTAACATTGACTATGTATTGTCGCCAATGGTTCACTATTTTTGCCACCATTAACGACTAATTTGAATATTTTTTGTTTTGTTTTGTTTGGTTCGTGTGTCTACTACGTACAAGTATAATACTAATGGTGTCGACGTACGTACACATGACGAAACATCCCAACACGAGCGTTCGCATTTACTTTTTACTTTTGTGGTTACAGTGCGAGCTTAATGGCCCACTTATTGTATGTATTACCTTATCCGGTTAATTTTGTCAAAAGACAAATTTTTTGGCTTTTTTGACTTTTGAACCCTGTATACATCATGTAAAAAGGGTTATAAGAAAACCGTTAGTGCTGCTGTATTACTTGTTAAAATTATAAATATAATATAATGTATTTTACATGCATGAAAGATTGAAATTGAAGAGAGATAATTGAAGATATTTTCGTTCTCTGTATATCACAGTTTTTGATTTTTAGTTCGCCGCACCTCTATTTTTTCTTCAACCGCTTGTTGTCACGATGAAAGCCTGATTGATCAGTATTTGTTTTTTTCACAAATTTATCATAAACATTGCGGTCGTCGAAATGTCTGTTCTTTTATATTATATCAAAATGATGGTACTGTGCCATCATATCATTCAACCACCGTTGCAATTTTATTTCGAATTTTAATATTCTTTATAGAACGTCTTTTAACAAATTGAAAAAGTCTAATTCAATTGTAATTGTTTTTAGTTTTTGTTGCCAACTCTGCAATAATAGATATATAAAAATAGATGTAAAACAAAGATGCATGAATTGTTTCTTGATAGCGAGCATCGTAACTGTTTTTAGTTTTTGTTCCCAAACTCTGCAATAATAAATATATAAAATAGATATACGACAAAGATGCATGAATTGTTTCTTGATAACGAGCATTGAACAAATTTGTTTTCAACAGTTATTGACCATTTCTACTTCTTAAAAATTAAAATCTATCGCCTTCGTGGAGATAGAGTGGACCGTTAAATTTTCAATCATCCCTAAAATCCATGACTCATCGATTATTCTTTTTTCAGCTTAACTTTATGACACATCATATATAGTATAAGCAAAAGGATTCACAGTTTTTCACTTTTATTACATCCCTCTTCATACACCAAAGGTAGATGATATTCTATAACTAGTTTCCCAAATAATCACTGTTGTTATCTATCAACCTAATGGGCACACAGAAAAATGATAATGATTTTTTATTTTCTTGGGTTTACAACTAGACATTTAGTATACATAGTTTATAATTTTTTTTATTTCAATGTGAATAATAGAAGAAGATGGTATTTACATCAAAAAAAAAGTTTTACTACATACGTACATGAAAATTTTGAACGATTTAAAGATTCTTTTCCACCTTTATGATTTAACATATATATACTAAAGATGTTTAACAAAAGGGTAGACCAACTTGTACGTGATGATCGGAGTCTACCTTTTTTAACTATGGCGTATGTTAGTTAATTTATCCCGATTTAGTTATCCGGATCGGAGTCGGCTTTTGCATAGTTAGTGGCATATTAACAAACAAACAAAATATCAGAGACATTTTATTTTCTACTAAACATTATAGATGAAGGCATCATCATACATGACGACGAAGCTTTCAGGACTACTAAAAATATTGCAGCTTTCAGATTTTTGAGTCACAGGTAATACATATAGTGAAAACCAGCAATGCGAATAAACGGCTTTGAAGTTTGCATTATTCTAATGTAGTTTTTTAATCAATTATTATTACCTGGATGTTGATTACAAAAAACTTCCCAACAATCAAAAGATGTCAGCTTTTTTACAACTTCTTTGGTAAAGCTGAAAATTTAATATTGTATTGTCGGGACAAAACATATAAAATTAAGGTTTTTGCACATAGTATATACTTTCCTTACTATATCAGACTCCACTATCCACTATCTTTCACAAATACAATAATTGAGAGCATCCTTGAAATGGCAGGCAAGAAAAAAGTAAGTTTTAAATTAACAGTTTGTCTAAAAAGCTCACTCTGCTTTGTTAAAGTTTATGTTTATTTTACTCGAAGATATTTGAACTTATTCAGTTTTATTTAGTCTCATTGTTTTTTTTTTCTTTTGGTGTAATGTTTGCACTGTTTTTGGTTCTCTCTGAATATGAATGCTAGCTAAGAGAAAATGATTAAATACCTAAATTAAGTTCCAAATCTACTAAAAGATCTCAATAATTAGCTATATTAATATTTTTCGTTTTCAAATAATGTAAATCATCAAATTAAAAAAGACCATTTTCACAATAAATGTGGCATCGGTACTTACGCTCTAAGTTAAGCTGCAACTTATATATCTTGTAGCTAAGCAGACACTCATAGCTCCATCATAGGAAGGGTGACCCATACTATGCGATTCCTGAGCAGTTTGTCCACAAACTGTATTGTTGTTGTGGCTGAAATTGATGATACACCATGATTCCTTGTTTGCGCTCTCTCCATAGAGTGTGCAATGTTGTCTTGAAATCGTAGAGAAGAAGGACGAGCTGGATTTTTCCAAGTTGGTGATCCATCAGATTTATATCAATAAGTATTTTTTTTGTCCAGCTATTCAAATGTGACATAAAAACAGTATTTCTGTAAACCAATGAAGTTCATGGAGACAAGGATGTTGTATTTCATTAATTACGTTAATCTTGATTATACAGAAGTCATTCCAATAGATTCTCCTTTCAACCTATGTCTACTCAAATAAATTAGTGGATAGCGACAGATTCTAATTACAGTTAAGCATTAAAGTTTATAGTCTTTCATATTCAACAACATAAAGAAAAGAGACTTAAGATTGTGACTAAAAAAATGGAATTCATTTTGAAGAATTCATTACAGTTTTATTTACACATTTGTATATTCTAATTAAACTATAGCTACTTGTATTAATTATAATATTACTCTTAGTGCTCGAAGGACAGAAGAAGAGATTCTTTTGTATTGGGTCGCAAAAGGAAATGCAATGAGTAAAAGTCACAATATTGATTAATTAGTACAATAAGAGTCGAATGCAAAATAATTCAGCTGTTGAATACTTGATATATATCACCAGATATATACAAAACACCATCAAATAAGTACTGATAGTTGAAAAAAAGAATGTAAGCAAACAACGATTGGTCAGGATTAATTTATGCTTAATGAGAAAAAGGATTAATTAATTTTCATTAGAGAAAAGGAATAATGATCATCTCGAATCAACCACATGCACTCATATAGAATGGTCATGTCTTCCATTGGCTAATAGTCCAATATTATTTATTTTACAAAATTCCACACTGACTTAAAAAAAAACGAAAGTTATGTACAAGTATTCATATATGGAACACACTCTCTCTCTCTCTATCACACACACACTCACAAACAAACACGCACATTGAGAAAAGAGAATCAAAGACAATTAACCCTAAACTCACCCCACCACAAAATATAGGGTTCACTAAAACGTAGTTAACACATCAATACAAGTAGATTTTTTTTCATATGATTATAACTCAATAATTAAACAGTCCTGGAAGATCCCAATCCTGTGAAAATGAGCCAGGAATCATCTCATAATCACCTTCTAACAACTGATGAGGTGGATAAGCCCAAAAGTCTGCCGAGTCAGAGAAAATGAACTCGTTACTTAGCTGAGTTGAGCCATCATAGCTCGATCCTAAACTCGGTAGCTCAACAATCTCCCCTAGCTCCTCAGAGCCAGTCCCTGAAGAAGACACCAGAGACTCCAGTGAAGAAGAAGACTGCGAGGAAGAAAACTCAAAAGATGAAGAAGAAATAGAAGAAGACTGCGAGGTGGTAATGATGATCTCCATGTGTGCCGCTTTGAGAGCTGCGGCTTGAATGTCTCGAGGGCTGAGAGAGCTTGGACGTGGGAAAGAGCCGGCAAGTTCAGGGAAGTTAAGTATCGCCGAGGCTCCTTTGATGCTCAGAGCAGCTACGTCGTGTGCACGCGCCGCCATCTCCGGGGAAGGAAACGTTCCTAGCCATATACGAGATTTCTTCCTCGGCTCTCTTATCTCCGACACCCATTTTCCCCAGTTCCTCTTTCGGACACCTCGGTAAACCGGATGCTTACCGGAGTCTCTAACCGGGCTCGTCTTCTCTTTCTTGCTTTCTTGACTCACTGAGTTAGTAGCCGAGTTCTTGGACGTACTCTCTAAACCTATCATTGGTGGTGATCTTATTTTAAACAAGAGCTATATGCGAAAAACAACAATGTCACATTAACTACTGTCTTTTTTGGATTTGGAGGTTTTTGGGTAGTGAAAAGGAATGAAAAAGAAAAAAGTTTTGAGAATTTTACAAAAATGTATTATTTTTGGGAATGAGTTAATGAAGGGAAGTGAGAGACATAGCTTGATGGGTATTTGTCCTCATTTCTCAATCAACCTCTTATTTATATGCAACAATTGCTTTGGGTGTGGTAGGGGTAAAGCAAGATATGGGACAAATATTTCACTAAGTTTAGTAAGTAAAATAAAAAAGGGACCCACTGAGCTAAATTTGATTTTGATTCCCTTAAAAGTCCCGTACATAATTTTATTAATCATGACAACAGCATAAATCCATATTTGCCTTTACCCAAAAAAATATATTTTAGAATTACCATTTTTACTTGTTTTTCTGGTGTATATGTTAATTTTTTTTACTTATTTCTTCTTTCAATTTGTTTTTTTTTTCTTTACTACTGAGGGTGAGAGATGTGTTTTACTGAGGAATGTTTTAATATCGAGCACATTAGATGAAGAGAGTTTTGTTCTCATCTGAAATTATCATATACAACATTGGAAAACAAATTTTCCCATTTGATGAATTGTAAACTATATCAAAATTCAGATTTTAAATATAGAAAATGACACTTAATACTCTATCTATCATTTTATGTTATGTTTAAAATATATTTAGAAATAATACATCATTGATCTATTTAAAAACATTCACAGCATTCTATTATTCCTTAAGAAATCATATTTAGTTAAAGTGGTTCTTCTTGTTCATTAATGTTATAATGCTATTCTATTACCCTGCCCTAATGTTTCTTTCTCTTAAAGGTTATAGTTTTGAGATCAAAGAAAATCATGTTAGAACAAATGTAATTACGTAAGAAAATAGGATCTAACATGAAATTAATGATATTTTCTCATTTCTCAAAGCAAATTATTGCATCCTCTAGAATAAATCTTTATAACAAATAATAAAAGTTCCTTATTAAGAAAACATTAATATAATGAGATAAATTATTCTGTTGTAGTGCCGACTGAATAATTCTTTTATTATATAATACATGATCGCGACTTTTAAATTAGATTGTATGAAATTTTCCCTTCGTGTTGAAAATGGTTTGTCAACTATTTTTAATTAATTATTTTAAATATTCAACTCAATGTACTGTTCAATTATCCCTGGTCGTGATCTCAATGCATCATCATGTTTGTCACTACATAAACATTATCTACATATAAAAAAACTAAAACTTTTTTTTGCCAAGCATATATATAGGTCTATATATGCATATGCATTTGAGGTTCCTCTAATATACAATAAAGAGCATTCACATAAATTATAAGCTTAGATTGGCGATTGTAAACAGGGCTCTGACCTTTAAAATTAGAGGGTCTAAAATAAGTTTGAAACGAGTATAACTAATTTTTTTTTTTTATGGATAGGGGATCTAAAAGTTTTTTTGAGGTATGTGTATATATAATTTTTTTTTTTAAATGAAAATCTTAAATTAATGTTTTATTCAGTTTGGCAAAGGTTCGACCTCAATTGTAAACTATGTAGTCTTAACATTTTCACGCGCACATTTTCATCAAAGAGATCCTTGCATCTTTTTTTTCCGTTTGGTCGACCTATATATATCTAAAGAGATAAATTAGATAAATGTTTTAATGTCTTAAACATTCGTTGCATTGTAATGACCTAACACCAAAACTGTAAACAATAGTTAATATATTTGTAATCAACTGGTTGACCACATTTGACTTTAAATGATTTTTTTTAATACTAGAAAATTATATATTACAAACTATGAGAAATATTACATAGACGATTTTACAGTCGACAATTCTACATGTTTTATGCGGATTCAGGTCTGACTGTATCACCCTAAGCCGTCTTATGAGATCCATTCCTAACAGTACGTCTTGCGCCATGCTGAAGATCTCTTGTAAACTTTTTTTCCAATCTGAATAATTTGTTATTCACATTTTTCTAGAATGAAAACCTTTTTGGTGTAGAAACTTCATAACATGAAAATCAAACCCAAACCTGATGTAGAAACCTTTAAACCTTAACCACTAACCTACGGTGTTTTCACGACTTTAAATGATTATGAGGGTATGTGTAGCATTAGCATCCATGTAAAACTAAGTATAAATAATATTCTGTTATTAATAAAGGTGTATTGTAAAGAAGGTTCGAATCCAAAATCAAATAGTTCATAAATCGTTTGTCACACATGTGAACTCCAGTCTCCAAATTTGTTCGTGTGTCGTGGCAGCTGGCAGGGTTAGCTTGGAGAATGGTTCCAAATATGGCAACTTATTCGATCTTTTGCACACTTCTTTGTTTAATTTATCTCTATATATTTTATAATGTATTCTACATAACTTTTAAAATGTTCTGGAACTAGTCTAACATCCAAGTTGTACAGAAAATTCTAGCAAAAAAGAGGTTAGTTACAAAGCTGAACATAAACATGCATATACTAATCAAATGGCAGCAAGGAACGACGTTTTGCGTTTCTTAACCGCAAGATCAATATGCATACATGCATTTAAAATTGCTATTAAGAAGTAAGGGCGCTATGTTCAGATTCTGAACGGGCCTCTCCAGTCTTTGCTTAAGAACTTTTCTTGTGGCTACTGGCTAAAGGTCTCAAAATGGATAAGCCACCCAAACCAAACAATTTGTGGCAATTAGTAATAAAAGTTCTAAAAGTTGTAAGTCGCTATTCATTTGGTGGGTGGCCAGAACATGTTAACTGTTTCTTGTCCTTGATGGTTCTATATTATGACTTTGAAAAGCGAACTTAATTAATGGTTGAATCTAATTTTTTTTAGCGGATATATTTAGGGTCGATCACACATATAATAGTTGTCAAATACTAAAGCTACCAGCGTATATAATGTCATAATCGTATGTGCATGGTGTGACTGAAAATGTCTGCTAGAACACGGGATATAAATATTCAGATTCTAAGAATTTAATGTAAATGTTCACACTTACTAAATTGAATTGGATGGAAAATGATTTTAGATACTTAAGGATGCTATAAATGGTATACTCTATGTACAAACAGAGTTTTAACTGAACATATTTTCAAGCTTACTATTGTCGTGCTTGAAATAGCTATCAAACAAAATCATAATCTCCTAACTTTCTTCGTAACTAGAGAAAGAGATTACTATATACTGAGCTATGTGTTCAAAACAAACTTTTCAGTTCCTAAAAACAGCATTATAATTTATCAATTTGTTTCACCTTCTAATCGGTGACCATAGTCTTAGATAACACATATAACGTTTCGATACTAAAACAAATCATCCTGAAAATTATAATATCAAGTTTAAACAATCAACCCCAAGCAAAAGGAAAATAAGATTTTCTTTTAACTGAACTAAACTAGATACAATTTCATTAAATCCATGATAGACTCTTAACTAGGCTTTTTAACTTCAGATAAGAGATTTCTTAACTTTTTTTAGAATTTTTTTTAAAAAAATCTAAGAATCCTCTCTTAAGAACCATCCATAAATAAGAGATATAAAAACCGTCTCTTAGTCGAAAAATGTAAAAACAAAAAAATGTCAAATCATGAGTTAAGAACTTCGATTAAGAAATCGAAATTAATCATACTCTTACATGCTCTACTTACTCAAGAGAGCAAAAATAAATAAATAAAAAGACTACAAGTTCAATGTATCTACCAAATTTAATCAGATTGAATCATTCTAAATCCTAACTATCATTGGTAATTAGGGAGTTATACAAGGATCATTGTGGACGAATTTCCAGCTAGCTATATCACATATCGGTATATGGACGCCTCATGATCAAAAGGATTTTTGGTCAAACTAGCGCATCGTCACATATCCCCAAGTTCGAACGTGTTTACTATAGCGTTTTTAGTTAAAATATTATTTTTTAGATATTTTATTTTGATAAGAATATTTTTTGAATTTTAGCTAATACTAAAACCTACAACAAAACAAAAATCATTAAACAAACTCAGAAACAACTATAATAATAATAATAATATATGTATTAAAATCATTCTTATAATATTGAAGAAAAAGAAATAAATAAGAGAGAAAAAGGCATTTTGTGTCGACGAGAGAAAAAGGCGTAGCGATGGGAGAACATTGGGAAAAGAACCAAGTTGTATGATTTAATTGGCAACAATGGCAAGCAAATGGTCCAAGAGAGACATCTGGAAATGTAGGTCATGCCCATAAGTTTTTGCTTACTTAGGAGAGTGAGGTAGTCAACGAAACGCGCGTATGGTTGTCGTTTCGGTCCCCACTCATATACCCAGAAATAATGTGTATGTATATGCATGCAACAGTAGAACTCCATTATTTGCAATTTGTCGACATTATTCTACAGGAATTCACCGACCGATGTTATTGTTTGTCGATCGTATTATAAAACGGAAGAACACGAGACCATTCTAATCCAAAACAATTATTCGAAGTAACTTTAGTTTCAGTATCGTTAGTGTGTGTCCAGCTTTTATTTAATGGAATGGTTTTGGAGCCTAATTAATTATTGTTTTACAATCTTATGCATGATTGCTCCATCGGTTTCAATTCATGGTTTTAATATTTTCAAATCAAATAAAATCTACTATGCTTTTCTAAAATAAGTTTGGCTCTACTTTCTGTTATATTTTACATAATTATAATTTCAAAATTTACACTGAAATCATATAATAACCTTTGAACAAAAAACACGATTCTTTTTTTTTTTTTTTTTTTTTTTTTTTTTTTTTTTTTTTTTTTTTTGATTTGCTAGGATGGGTTCGGGCCTTCGGCCTTAATCCCCCCCTAGGCCCGGTACCAGCCTGCGTCTGTACCCGCGCAATGGGGCCTAAGTCATACCGTGGCCAGTACGAGTCGAACCCGGGACCGTACTTGCAGCTGCAAGCCGTTCACCACCAGACTAACTCGTCTGGTTAGGAAAAAAAAAACACGATTCTTAGGTTGAAATAAATTGATTGGTTCTTTCTCCATCCCCGTCATCTTGGTTAATGATTTATAAGTACATACAATAGCCACTCGCTACATGACAATGGGTTTTAAAACTTAGGGGCAGACCATAAAAGGACTAATTCATTGTCGACCATATTAATCAATGAGCAGTTTCATTTATGTTTCTACGAAATTATTCAATTTTTGGACCACCAATGTCTAAATCTCATTGTACTGAATTGCTTTTCTAAATTTTCATGTGGATGTCTGTGTGCATATATCTTATGTCTCTATGGTTGATTGTAGAAATAAGTGATAACGACTTAGCATCACCTTTCGCAATATATGACCATTTATACGCAATTAGCAGTAAAGAGAAATCATTTTTGATTGTAGCGTCTAAAGTTGTGCTTGAAATTCTGTCTGTAATGATGGAATGAAAAGGCAAAATGTTTTTTCCAATGCGTAATATTCATAATAATTACTATATTTTAGAATTCAACTTACACTACTAGCACACAATGGTAGTGAGCCTTTAGACTAAACATATGACATCTGAGTAAAATGGTATTTGCCATAAGAATACACTGAATCATGGCTTTCTATATGTCGACGACTCGTCTATCGTTTTGTGTTAAAAGAGTCGACACGTCTATCGGTATAGATATTTTACCTGTAATAATGAAACCAGACGGACGTTGTCACCTTATTCAATTCTGGGACCAAAAGCGGTTATATGATGCGTCTTTTTTGTTTGGACAAATATGATGCGTCTTTTTTTAAACAAGGAGTTTCATATGGTACGTAAAATTAATGAAGAGTTGGTAAATAAATTAAAAACCTATGAAAATGAAATATGAAAAAAACATGAGCAGCTATTATATTCATTTAATTTATAATTGTTCCTAATTTTAAGGTTAAGATTCCGGTTGTGAATGATGATGAGCAGACAAAATGTGCTGCAGTACAGCAGTAGTACTGTAGTAAAAGTTCTACAGTCAGTACTTTTATGTTATTCATTCAAAAAGCAGTTTTATTACGGTTGATTTTATATTCCGTGTAAAGATTTAAGTTTTTTTTTCTTGTTTTTTGTTGTGAGAAAAGATTAAGTTCTTTTCAATTTTTGCAATACACTATAACCTATTGTGAACCGCATGTTAACCATCCAAAGCATAATGGTTCCAATAGTTCATACGTAAATATCACTTAAATCTTTACGTAAAATACTCCCTCTGTTTCAATATAAATATCACTTAAACATATTTCACACAGATTAAAAAAATAAAATTTATACTATTATATCTTTGTTTAATATATAATTATTTATATAAAAATGATTTTTAAAATATCTATTGTTTACTTAAAAGAATAAGAAAAAGATTATGTGTAAAAAATTCCATTAAAAATGTAAAGTGATACTTATTTTAAAACAAGAAAAAATGATATAATAATATTTATTTAGAAACAGAGATACTATATTCTAAACACGTACTCTATTTATAATGTAAAGAGCGGTACAAAAAAACTACATTTTTAGCAGTGAAAAACCGCTTTATTATGTTTCTGATGGTGTTTTCAAAATTCTGCTCCAGCTATATTCCTTCTTATATGATAGCATCTTTTTAAATGTTATTATATCAAGAACATATGATAACGTTATTTTGAATGTTATCTTATGTTCTATTATAGTGATGTATCAGTGTTATATATCTATTAACGATTATGTGCTAATAGAACTTGTTCATATAAGCATGTTTTTTGCTAATTATATTTAAATTAAAAAAAATATTCAATTTATATTTCATTAATAAACCAAAATATACTTACATCAATCCCACAAACATGTATATATTTTCATCAAATCTTACATAAATATCATTACAAAATCAGAACTAAATATAAAAGAACTAGAAAACATAGGAACTTAATCAAAACCTTAATTCCCCATTTTCTTCTTTGCCTTAGAGTATCTCCAACCCAATCTTAAATCCTCAAATTTTGAGGTTTTTGTCATTCCAACCAAACCTCAAATTCTCAAATTTTGAGGTTTTGAATAGTGACACCTCAAATTTGAGGTTTCACTGTTCAAAACCTCAAAACTGCTATTCATTTTCTTTTTAGTCCTTACAATTATTTTCTTTCACAAAGCATCTATTAACTTTATTTAGATAACTTAAATATACCAAAATAAATAAAATATAATAAATAGTACATTAAATAAAAAGTAAATTTACACAAATATAAAAATACATTAAATAAAACTCATAAAAAATAAAAAAAACATTAAACAAACTTAACATAAATTAAATCAAATTATAGAAACATTTAAGTATTGCATATCTTACAAGTGGTATATTATATGTAACTTTCTAATTTTTTTCTGTGTGTATGTTATTTTATTATATATGTAATTTATATTATTTTATCATATGATATTTTAATATTCTGTGTTTTATAATATATTAATTGTATGTTTTATATGTATTTGTGAAATATTGTCATTATTCATAATTTTTATTAATACCAAGGACTATAATGCAAATAATATAAACTTTTAAATATTTTTTGAGGTTTTATGGTTGGAGCAACCAAACCTCAAATCTTCATGTTGAAGTTTGCTCCCTTTAAAATGAGGTCTTGGGTTGGAGATGCTCTTAAAATGTATATCACAGAGAAAGTGTAGGCGATGCCGGATGCATCTTAATATTTTGTCACTTTCATATACTAAGAAAATGGTAGAATTTATTTATGTTTTTTACTAATTATACATATTTAACCATGAGTCATTAACTTAACTAGAAATCACTTTAGCCATTCTGTCAAAGATCTTCAATCCGAGTGACTACTGGAATGAAATTAAAATTGTACTAAGTGTTTTCGTACACCACGTGCAATAGTAATTATTTTTTTATTAAATTCTGTTTTTAAAATGAAATTTTGTTAATATCATAGATTTTATTATTTTATTAATATTCCAATAAATATTTTGATTTATTTTAATTATATTATAAAATATGTATATATTTAAAATTATAATTTAAGTTATATTTTTATTTATTTTGGTTAATATATACATTAAATCTATCTGTATAAAATTTTAAAAACAATGATATAAAAATTATAATTATCAAAAATAAAACTAAATAGAATTTCTAAATTTGAAGATATCAAAAGGAAATAAATAGTATTACGATAATTTTTATATAATTTTATAAAAATTATAAAATTTGATAAATTTTATTTAGTAATAAAATTTTATGATTATAAATAGACCTAAATCGTATTTAAAATCTTATAATAATATCTATACTCATATTATTTAATGTCATATTTGAATATATTTATTTTAATTATGATGTGTGGGTTATTTTATATTTTTAAAAATTTAGCAAAATAGAAATCAATATTAAATGTAACTGTTATGTACGTTTAATCATACGTCATGTCATCTTTTTTAGCATATCATATCATAATTTTTACTGAAAATAATTGGAGAGAACATTTGTAAAATGATTTTATAAATAATATTTAGAAATATTGTGGTTTTAGAGTTAAGGGAATTACGGACTTCAGCTCCTAACCTCTTGGTATAAAGAAATTACAGATATTTAATTAATAATATTTCAGAAATAAAATTATATTATAAATCAATCCATTTTGTAATTAATATGAAAATTAAAGTAAGTACAAATTATATTAGAGTTCTAAAGTACAAACAGAGAGAACTCTCTATTACTTTGGTTTTATGTGAAAAGTTAATAGTTTTACTCAGATCAGTGTTAACCCCTAAACTTATTTTCCTAGTCTCGTTCCTTCCATGCTGCGGTTGTATGCATATACTATTATATGTTTGGTGAAAAGTTAAAATACTGAAAAGTTGGAAATGGTAATGTTTATGTAAGAAACAGACAAAACATATTGAAAAGAAACATGTCTCCTGTAACGTCAAACCTCACCATCTTCATTTATTGCCCTTTTCTCTGTATATCTTTTCTCCCAAGGAGGTGATATGACTTCAGAACTTTATACTACTAATAAATTCATAAAAAGAAGAAGAACATAGGATGATAACTCCATAGAAATTCGTAAAGACTGAGATTGGTTTTCTGCAAACATGGCAGTCTCTTGTTTCTCACATGCTACTCTGCTTTGGCTCCTGAATTGAATGTAAACCACATACTGTCTGTATTAACTATTCATACCGACCGGTTCAATCTACTCAACATGTACATGTAAACACACACAAAAACATGTTCTACAAATCAGACCACTTGTTTTTTGTAAACTGAAATTTATATATGTAAAAAAGAAATGTACAATGAATTGTTTGAGACACATAACTAAACTAAACAGAAATCTGAAAAACCCGGTTAAACCAAACCGAATGAAGAATCATATGAAACATATCATACTTCTCAGGCTTAACATGCCACAGAAAATGCTTCTGCACTCTCTTAACCCTCATCTGCATTTGCCTGTACCTACGTTCCGACACTGACATCAGAATCTTCTTCAAGTTAGGTATATCTTTCTCCGCCACAAAAAGTGCAAAAGACTCCCAGTTCAAAACCTCGAAAAACGGTGGCACAAAGTTATCAGATATAATAACAGGAACACAATCATAGAATATAGCTTCCACCACTCTAGGACTGTTCACTTCAAACCCTTTGGCACAGATGCAGTACTTGCTTGTCTTCATGAACTGAAGGTAGTTCTTGTTTCCTTTAGTCCGAGGTAGTTTCCCGAATATTTTCAGGTCAGGATCTTTGTTGTTTCCCCAGTAAGAGAGTAGGATTGGTCTAAGGTAACCGTGGTCAGGCTTCCCTGCAAAGAAGGCTAGTGTTGGTCTTTGGGACGCAGATTTGCCACCGATGTTGCTTAAGGGTTTCTTGGGATCTCTAACGAATGTCTCTGGTAATGATGTGTCCTTACCAAAGACAAAGCCTTCTTTAACATCAGAGTTGCATAAGGCCCTAATACTCTCTGTGAAGTGCTTCCGTGTCTCTGAAGGCGCCTGAAAATGTCACAAAAAAAGACCATACCATTATTAGTAATGTCACATAAGACCATACCATTATAGAAAATGATCTCAAATATTGCATTTTTGTATAGAAACGTTACAAAAAAATACTCATGATAAAGAGGAGAAGTCATTACCCAGTCATGGCAAGCTGCAAGGAAATGATCAGCACCAGAAGTTCGGTTCCAGAAAGGGTACTTCACGGAGATGAAGTCTATGTAGTCTTTAAGATACTGAATGAGATTACGGTGACTATGAGAGTCTTGTACATAAAGAGTCACCTCTAGCATCCGAGAACTAAAGGGTAGATAGAAAAGATGAGCTTTAGAAGCGTCTTTTGTGACAAACTTGTTGTTGTTTGATTCAATAAGTTTCATGAACCAGCCTTCTGATGCATATATCCCTCTGAGAATTGGACTGTGCATTATAGGTTTCTCTCCTTCTTTGTAAACATAAACCTTTAACATCTTCTCCATCAACTCATAGCTCCTAAGGAAGTCAATATCACACTATTAGAATATGAGCTTTGGTGCAGTTTCAAGAAAAGGAAAGAAAAAAAAAAGACTCACCGTTTAAACATGGAGACGTTGCGGTAAAGAGGAGCGTAGAGGAGAGGGTCTTTGTCATCTATAGGTGCATTCTCAATCTCATACTTTGCTTGTAGAAGCTCCATGTCAGGTTTAGTAACCCATTTTGGTTTCTGAAAAAGATGAAACATTGTCATGCTATTTGTTACATTGTTATGTAATAAGAATGTGTTTATAATATCAACCTTTGCTAGACGGTTATGAGAAATGCGGTTTCGACGCAGCTGCTTGCTCATCTCTGATATTGACATCACTCCTGAATCAGGCCTTTTCACGTACTCCTTCACGTCAGGAACAAATCTCACAACAGGAACAGCTGTTTTAGTTGAGTTTTGATCATGTACTTGGCTAGTTGCGTTTTCCTTAACCGGAGACCGGTTCAAACTAGGTAAGGAAGCAGGGGGCTTAGCACTAGCCACAGGTGCGGTTACGTTTTCAATTACTGGAGATGAGTTTAGAGTAGGTAAAGCAGCAGGAGGCTTTGCACTAACTGCAGGTGCGGTTGCGTTTCCTTTCACTAAAGGTAAAGCAGCAGGGGGCTCTGAACTAGCCACAGGTGCGGTTGCGTTTTCTTTTACATGAGAAGGGGAAACGGTTGGAGCAGTTGCGTTTCCGCTGCTGTCAAATATCTTATCAACCTCAACTTCCTCATCATCTCCTCCACCAGAATCATCCACAGAAGTAGCGTTCTTTTGTGGAAAGCTAGGTGCCATAGCTGGAGCCAAGTTATTATTGTGATGCTGGCTTTGTCTTGAAAGTGAAGTTGAGTTTCTTGAAAAGGGAATCTTGGTGGAAGAGAAGAGGGAGGAGATAGTGTTTGGAAGCTCTATGTACTGAAAAGTGACGATGAGAGCAAAAGTGAGTCCCAAAAGCCATAGAAGACGTCTGCTTTCTACTACCTTCCATAGCCATGGAAACTCAGGCCTCATCTTCAGGCCCTGATGTTACTTAACCTGTCACAGTTGAAAAGTATATGA